TTAAAGTCTAAGCAAGAGAATTCTGGACTCCATGTATATTGTAAATTTAATTCAAGTATTATTACTACCTATACAAGACAGTTAAAAACAGATTATATCACAACATAAAGCAATTCTATAGTTGGTACAAAATCAATCAAAACCCAGAATATAGAATATTTCACATTTTGTTCTGTTCACAACATTGTCAGCTCTAAAAAAAAAGAAAAACCAGTCAAAAAGTTTCTTATCGTATTAATCAGCTAGTATGTTAAGATCTAAATGTTAAACTTGTCTTCCACAAGCTGCAGAAGGTTTTGTATCACAACTCCAGGATTTGTGTCAAATGAGTCTTAGTTGAATAGTAAAGACTGAATGTCTTAGATGGTAACCCCAGCTAATCTTCTGATGCTTAAGGAAGTGATTCTCAGCCAGGTTGATGTGGCACCCTGAGGTACCTTGTGATCTATTCAAGGGTTCCACATAATGTTAACACTGTTAGGTATGCAAACGTGATTCTTATGATAAACACAGAGATTTCAAATTGGAATCTATAGTATTAAAGGCATTCTGTCCTTTTGTGGTCTGAGTTCTTTGCAATGGACTAATTGATCTATTTTTCTGTAGCTGAAAAGCAAGGGAAACTAAGTGCTGGCATTTTCTAAGGGGTATGTCTAAGTTTAAAAAGGTTGAGAACCACTGACTTAAGGAAAGCTTCCAATACTAAGCCTTTGCCCTTGTATAATCTTAAATACAAAGTTAGGTGTCCAGCTAGAGGACAGCTTACTGAATCCATTTTGACTTAGTTCTTTTTTATGAACTGGTCTTGTGTACTAAGTGCATTGCTTACATCTGCCAAGTTTGGTCTTTGATTCCACAGAAACAGGTAGACAAGGTTCTTTGGGTGAATCTGATATCTTTAATTAGACCAACTTAAATAGTTGGAAAACAATTATTAAGCAAGCTTTCAGGTTCAAAAACCCTTTGTCAGGCTAAGGAAGTTTCAGCAGTTGGTGTGTGCTCTTCCTGGATGGAATGAAAAGTAAAGAAGCCAGAGGCTGGTCTGGTATGCATACAAGCCAGGTAGTCAGTGAAAATGTAGATTGAGGAGTCAATGGGTGAGAGACAGGCGGGGCGGGGCATAGGCTCGTCTCTGGGAAGTGTTTTGTAAGTTTCCTTTGAGGATCAGGACTGAGAGATTGGAGAGAGAGTGGTTTTCTTGTGAGAAATGTGCCCCCACAGGTAATTGGGTATTCCTGTCTTTGATAGATTTCCGGTGTGCGTTCATTTTGGTGCGCAGTTGTTGTTTGGTCCACAGACACAGGTGGACACTCTCACAAGTCAAACAGTGGTCTTAAGATATAGAGGCTCAGATCTACCAAGGGACTTAGGGCTCCTGGATTGTGTTGCAGACTTCACAACCCTTGATTACGTGCCTATGCTCCTTGTATAATTAATAAGGAAGTTTAGTTTATGTTTCAGAAAGGAATTCACAAATGCCAGAACACTGTACTGGGAGCTCTCTAACTTAAATATTAGGAAACACTGGCCACATCTACATGTTCATTATGTGTCTTAGATACTGCGCATTTAGTTTAGTACTTGCTTAATAAAGTACTAACTAAATGCTCAGTAACTAGAGTTACTGAACAGTAGCACCGGCACATGGTTATTTTGTAAGTGTCTTGTGTAGACAGGCCCACTATTGACTCAAATGTATCTTAAAAACTGCCCTTTCCAGACTATGTATACCTTACTTAATGTCATTGGTAGGTGTCTCCCTTCATCTCAAGGTTCACAGTCCTGGCATTCTCTTGGAACATAAAATGTTTCTTTCATAAACTGAGCAGGATACTCCAAAGTATGGCTAGAGGTGGTGATGCTGCTTCTATTATTCATATGGTAACTTAGTAGTTAGAATAATCATACAGGAGACCTGGGTTAATTTTTTCCTCTGCCTAAATGTTTTTGAACCCACAGGTCTACTTTCCATATGAGTTCTTTTACCATGAGGCTACTGGTTATTCAGGGGTGGGTTTAGGATATCATTCTCACTCCTTTCTGAGAATGCTGTTCCACTTTATGGTGAATACTTAAGATTCTGAGAGAGAGAGCAGGAGAGGCAATGAACATAATCTGTGCACTTACTGGGGAAGAGTTGACCTTGCTACCAAGACTGTTTATGTACTTGTACCCATTCCCAGGGGTAGAGGTAGGCCTAACTCTAACCCTAACCATCAGTGCAGCTTGTAGTTCTCACTGGGCCAATTAATCTAAATATTCCATGCAAAGTGAAACAACCTCCACAGCACAGCTTGAAAACAATATTATTCCAGAATAACCTGTGGCTTGTTGATTACAGTAACCTAGTGAGAGGTGGGTCATGTGATTTTGAATCACCTTAAGCTGAAACAGGGTAAAACACAGGTTTCCCATACCCTTGGTAAAACTACTACTGAGCTTCTGTAGTGAAAATGGGGAGGATAGGATAGACAATGCTAGCATCACCATTTTGAAGTGCTGTGTTTTGTGCATTGTCTGATTTGATATATGTACTCTGAGCATCCCTGCCACACAAAGCTTTGTTTATGGAACTCGACAGGTAAGCCATGCACTAGACACGGAAGAACTACGTTCTGTCAAGATGCTTTTTAATCATGCCCAGAACAGATGATATGCCATGGGAACTTTTATGCCTTGGTTGGGGTCTGGGTCCAGACAGGGGGGATTAATGCCCCCCCTCCCCTGGCTAAACCCCTTTCCCTGAGTACAGAGCTGCCCTGCCCTGTTAAACCTACTGAAAGTTACTGTGGAATACAAATCCCAGAGGCACCTGGAAGCAGGAAGAGGAAGTGATGAGCAACCCTGCAGAGTCCTGCTGCTATGATTTTGGACTGCAAACCTCAGGGACTGCAGAGGCAGCAGGAAGAGGAAGTGCCAGAGAGCTGTGCTCTAGTGCCCCCTGGCTTTTGGCTTGAGCCACTGCAGGCATGTGGCTGCATTTCCTGAATCAGAGGTAAATGTGTGTCCAGTTTTCTCAATTTAGATTTTGCAGCTCGGGCTAACCTGCAAAGACTGAATTGATTCAACCTCAAGCTTTTTGACTGTCTGTACTTAGCCCTAAGTTTAGTTTGGTTTTGGGGATCAAAACTCCCAGATTATAGGATACATTGTTGCCAATAGTTCTTAAGTATATAACTGAACTTTTTTCTATTAACTCAGTCCTCAGGATCATCTGTTCCTTCTGGCAGCCCTCCTCCATGTTGAGAATGCCTCTTGACTTCACATCATCAGCAAATTTCATTAAGACACTCTAATAAACCAGGTACTCAAGTCCAGCCTATGTCATGCATTAGGTCAGGGGCGGGAAAAATACGGCCCACAGGCTGGATTCAGCCCACCAGGCCATCCTATCTGGCCCACAGGGCCCCTAAAAATGTTAGTAAATTAATATTTATTTGCTGCTGGCTGCCTGTCAAAGGTAACAGGAGCCAGGGGTGGTACGACCCAGGGGGAGCTGGCAGGACTGAGCAGCCCAGCCCTGCCCCACCCCCAGTCATTTCCCTGCCTTCATAGTTTCATAGCTGGTAGGGTCAGAAGGGACCTAAGCAGATCATCAAGTCCGACCCCCTGCCATGGGCAGGAAAGGATGCTGGGGTCCCACACACCCACAGCCCCCCACAAACCTATACCCTCCCACAATATACAAAAGTAAAGTTTCATTTTAAGCAATTGTGCAATCACCTCTATTTACACTATACACACACATGTAAATCAAGACAAAAATATTTTTTGAACTCAATTAATGATTGTTTTAGATGTTTGCTTTTTAGAGTATAATTTGGTATTTTTCTGGTTCTGACATGGCAAAACCCCTTGATGAAAGGAGTACTTCCAGGGCAAGGGGAGGGACTTCTGGTGGCAAAGGTCAGGAGTTAAGGGGCATGACTTCCGATCACAAGATGGCGACAAAGGGTGGGGCACCTGTCAAGGGGTGGGGCTACCCATACGGCCCTCGACAGCTTGCCAAAACTCAGTAAACAGCCCTCCCCCTGAAATAATTGCCTATCCCTGCATTAGGCACTTACATCCTCTTGTGGATCTGGGTCACAGTTCCTTTCTCTGATGGGTAATTCTGCCTCACACTAAAGCATAAAGTCACCCGTTTCTGCTGAGGGAAATCTGAGAAGTATTTTAAACTTCCAGGTTAACTTCCCTGCAAAATCTTTGCAAATACCTGGGCATTGGACTACTTTCACAAATTATTTCCCTTCAGTCTCCCTTTATCATTTCCTTCCAAGGATGTCAGCAGTAGATGTTTTTCTTTTTCCCTTTCCCACCAAATGTTTCACTACTCTGACTGGAAAAGATTCCTTGTGGTGCAAAAAACTACAGATAGTCTCGTTGTAACG